TGTAACGGAATGGTATACAGAGCTCGTAACTATGGTATTTTGAAGCAAACACTGTCTTACATTGACATTCGTTTTGAAAAATGAATTCGACGTCTATTTCAAATGGTGTAGCCCAAAATATTAAACTCGTCCGATGTTTTCAAAGAATTTTGGATTACTCAATCAAGCTTGGGAATCACTCGAAGTGTAAATGACCTTTCTAACTTCTGAAAATAAAATGCTCAAGAACAGTTGATCTATCTGCTTTTATAAATTTTTTGTCCGAACGATTCTCTCTCTTGCGTACAAAAGTAGCTCAAAGTCAAGGATGACCCCAGAATCTTTCGCGGACAGGAATCTGATGGGCTTCCATAGTCATCTGTTTTCTCCAACTTGAAAGTCATATTGAGCAAATTTAACTTCATCCTTGGAGAGACCATGCTCGAATGCAATTAGTCGAGGTACACTTTTCTTTGCGCAAGACTGTTGACCTTATACTTTTTCCCAATGTTATAAATCTACACATGATGAATCGGTCTGTCATCAATATTTGATTGTATTTGTCAATCTCACCAGCTGGCGAAAATATTCATTACTATCGAAGCTGCATAGAGCTTCTTGGCCTCATCAGAAAAAAGGGTGGAGTGTGGGTGTGGGTGTGAGGTTTGGGCGTGTGTGAATGAAGAGAAGACCTATACACCGACACCCTGGCGTCTAAATTGCTACCAATTAGATAACAAGATTGATTGTCAGAAGCTATTCGCTCTGACAGACACTTAGTGTAATATGAACGGAAGATTGTCATCTTTTCACCTTCAGACTCTGATATTGTTGACTACCTTGTCCTCATTGAGTTACCTTAAACACAACATTATATAATGCTGACACAAGAGAAAAGAAAAAGAAACATACATAGTCAAGATTAATACTAGTAAGGGATGAGTCATTTAGAGGAAAGAAAAAGAAGGTTAGTGAAGTGTAGCAGACGTTAAATGTTTTACTGTATAATGCAAAAAAAATAGAAGTAACGATGATTTTTTTTCGTTCTTGTCATGTTAAGCTTGAATGCTTTCAGAGCAGTCTCATGCAAGGCACAGAAAGAAGAAAGTCATGAAAGGAGTCAATGAAAAAATGACTAATGAATGATGCTTTTCTTACCAAAGTCACTGACGGAGAAACTATATCCCACGCATTATTACTAAAATTATTGTGCGCAGAGAAAAGCAAGAGAAATTTTGTAAAAATAGCAAAACAAAAAATGATGCGATTGATTTTTTCTGTTCGTTCGGATGTCTCCAACGAATAAATATTTTTATTCTTTTTCTCTCTGTTTCTCTTGTATTTTTTACCTTAATATTTTCAATAAAAACAAGTAGGGCTCGTTCTTAGGTGTGAACGAAAAACATAAAACATTATGCGTAGTAGAAAAATAGAGAGAAAAAGACACAAATAGATATATATTCAGAGACGAAGTAGTGTATATGTGAGTGACAAAAAAATTATTTATAATTTTCAATTGACGATCAACTTATTATTCAGAGTAATATGGATGCACAAAAACCAAACAAGTCTATGTCTACATCTTCAAGGATCCTATCGACAACAACATCAGCACAGTCGGCTAGCATTCGTCCAGAATGCCGCATTTTCCAACATTTCTTTCTGATATGGTTAGATGCCAATATTGACCAAGGTAATAAAGATTATCAAAGCATTTTGGCACAACTTCAAAGCATAGTCAACGAAGTTCATACCTTCGAGGAGATCGATCAATGTATTGACTTCCTCACCAAAGTCGATGATAGAAAGGCATTTCTCATTGTAGCGGATGATATGCGACAACAAATGATGTCCTTCATCCATGATATTCCTCATGTTGATAGCATTTATGTCTTTTCTGGAAACAAAGTTCCACACGAAGATTGCACCAACGATTGGAACAAAATTAAGGGCATATATACGGAAATAACACCCATCTGTAAAGCACTAAAAGTGGCCATCCAACAATGTAATCAAGATGACATCTCGATAAGCTTTCTCAATGTACATCAAGAGAGCTTCAACCAAAATCTGAACGAACTTGAACCTTCGTTTATGTATACTCAACTGTTCAAAGAAATTCTCCTTGAAATCGACCATACTGAACAAGCACTTAAGGGTTTTATTCAACACTGCCGCAACGGATACATCAACAATACAGTTACATTGGACCGTATCGATGAATTCGAACGTGATTATCGTCCACAATCATCAATTTGGTGGTACACTCGGGAATATTTCCTCTACCAGATGATCAACTGGTCTCTTCGAACATTGGAATCTGAAACAATTATGAAAATGGGCTTCTTTATTCGTGATCTACATTGTCAAATAGAAGAATTACACAAACAACAAACAAGAGGTTCTGAGAAAGAACCCATTATTGTTTACCGAGGGCAGCGGCTATCCATCGCTGACTTTCAAAAACTCCAGACAACAAAAAGTGGTTTCATGTCCTTTAACAATTTTCTATCCACTAGTGAAAATCGACAGGTTTCCCTTACCTTCGCTGAAAGTGCCTCAACAGCAAGCGATATGGTGGGCATTCTCTTTCAAATGTTTATTGATCCCACCATCACATCAACACCCTTCGCCTCCATCCACCAAGTGAGTTACTTCAACGAAGAACAAGAAATACTCTTCTCAATGCACACTGTTTTTCGTATCGCTGAAATTAAACAGATAACCAACCATAGCCGCCTCTGGGAAGTACAATTGATTCTCACAGATGAAAATGATCAACAGTTGGCTACTCTCACGCGCAGCTTACGCAGCGAGCTCTGTGGATTCACAGGATGGCAGCGATTCGGTGATCTTATGTTCAAAGTCGGTCACTATAATAAAACCGAAGAACTCTACAATGAATTACTCAAGAACTCGTCCAATGACAGTGAGACAGCATACATCTATCACCAGCTTGGACAATCGAAACACGTAAAAGCACAGTACAAAGAAGCGGCTTCATTATATGAAAAGTCTCTCGAAATCAAGCATACAACACTGACAGAAGATGATCCTGAATTAGCTAAATCCTACAACAATATAGGTGAACTGTATAGAAACATCGGTGAATACTCGAAAGCACTTAAATTTTACGAAAAATCATATCACATAAGAGAAAAATCTCTCCCACCGAATCATCCCGATTTGGCTACTTCCTACAACAATATCGGCCAACTGTATCACCACATAGGTGACTACTCGAAAGCACTTGAATTTTACGAAAAATCACTTACAATAAGAGAAAAAGCTCTGCCTCCAAATCATCCCGATTTGGCTATTTCTTACAACAACATCGGTCAACTGTATAACACCATCGGTGACTACTTGAAAGTACTTGAATTTCACAAAAAAGCACTTAAAATAAGACAAAAAGCTCTGCCTCCGAATCATCCAGATTTCGCTAGTTCCTACAACAACATCGGTATAGTGCATAATGACATGGGGGACTACTCCAAAGCACTTCAATTTTGCGAAAAATCACATCAAATAATAGAAAACGCTCTGCCACAGAACCATCCTGCTTTGGCTACTTCTTACAACAACATCGGCTTTCTCTATAACAACATGGGTGACTACTCGAAAGCACTTGAATTTTACGAAAAATCCCATCAAATCTACGACAAAGCTCTGCCTCCAAATCATCCCAATTTGGCTCTGTCCCACAACAACATCGGTGGAGTGTATAACGCCATGGGTGACTACTCAAAAGCACTGGAATTTTACGAAAAATCACATCAAATCTACGACAAAGCTCTGCCTCCAAATCATCCCAATTTGGCTCAATCCTACAACAACATTGGTAGAGTGCATGACAACATGGGTGAATACTCGAAAGCACTTGCATTTTACGAAAAATCACATAAAATAAAAGAAAAAGCTCTACCACCAAATCATCCCGATTTGGCTACGTCCTACAACAACATCGGTTCAGTGTATAACCACATGGGTGCCTACTCGAAAGCGCTTGAGTTTTACGAAAAATCATATCAAATAAGAGAAAAAGCTCTGCCTCAGAATCATCCTGATTTGGCTTCTTCCTACAACAACATCGGTCAAGTCTATAACGACATGGGTGACTATTCCAAAGCACTTGAATTTTACGCAAAATCACATCAAATAAGAGAAAAAGCTCTCCCTCCGAATCATCCTGATTTCGCTCTGTCCTACAACAATATCGGTGCAGTGTATAACGACATGGGTGACTACTCGAAAGCACTTGAATTTCACGAAAAATCACAGAAATTCACAGAAAAAGCTCTACCTCTGAATCATCCCAATTTGGCTACTTCTCACAACAACATCGGTGCAGTGTATAAGCACATGGGAGACTATTCAAAAGCACTTGAATTTTACGAAAAATCACATCACATAAGAGAAAAAGCTCTGCCTCCAAATCATCCTAATTTGGCTACTTCCTACAACAACATCGGTGTAGTGTACAACGGCATGGGTGACTATTCGAAAGCACTTGAATTTTACGCAAAATCACATCAAATAAAAGAAATAGCTCTTCCTCCGAATCATCCCGATTTGGCTACTTCCTACAACAATATCGGTCTTATCTATAACAACATGGCTGACTACTACAAGGCACTTGAATTTTACGAAAAATCACATCAAATAAGAGAAAAGGTTCTGCCTCAGAATCATCCCGATTTGGCTACTTCCCACAACAACATCGCTGCAGTGTATAATGACATGGGTGACTACTCGAAAGCACTTGAATTTTACGAAAAATCACATCAAATAAGAGAAAAAGCTCTTCCTCAGAATCATCCTAATTTGGCTACTACCTACAACAACATCGGTGGAGTGTATAAGGACATGGGTGACTACTCG